TTGTAAGCGGAGCCGTCTTCGACTTGTGAAACGCACTTCGCCTCGACGAGGTCTAGATTAATGATTAACGACGTTTTGTCCGATCGGGAGGATTATCGCAATGATGCGTTTTCGAAAACTAGTCCATTCAGTGGTGTGACAAAAGGCCGTTGCTCTAAACGGTTACTATACCTGTCGTTTACTGTATTTTACTGCGATTACTTTACTTTTTATACTCTCTTCACAAGCATATGGGGAGGGGGATTTTACTTACTATCTTCACAGGCATATGCATGGGGGGGGGGGGGGGGAGAGGAAGTCTCATGACATTGATATATTTGTACACAATCTGCTGAAACCACCGCCGATAGTCATGTCACAGAAAAAAACTGATGCCTGCCTCCTGGTGGCCTGGTGGTAACCCCAGTCCAGATGCCTGACGCTGAAGTCGTCGAGAATAAGGGATGATTTGGATGCTCTCGTTGCAGTGGCACGAATCAGGGCGAGGAGCGACGCATCTTCAGTGGCACCAGGGGGGTTGTACACCTTGAGAATGAAAAGTTATGGCTGATCACGCCGCTTAGGTGGTGGAAAAACGTGGTGGAGGTCAGGTAAGGTCAAATCGGCTCGATTGACAACGAGCGTCCGCCGGGTGCGGATGGCTGTGACGGGATGGGGCAGAGAGGATCATGAGCTACTTGTTTGTGGGCAACGTAACCTAAAAGAGAAACGTTGGCGTGAGTTTCCTGTAGTACGATGATATCAGGAGAGGCCGAGGGGTCGACTTGTTGAAGATGGGGAAAGAGGTAGTTACACTTGAGACGAAAATCATGGCAGTTTCACTGCCAAATGGTGACGACGGATCGGTCAGTGATTTTTGACAATGGATGGCATTCCCTCAGCCGATTATGGCGAGTCCAATAAAACTTATTTTTGAGCTAGTTGGTTATTCGTCATAATCTAAGATATTTAGCGCAACCTCAACTTTCGCAAACACTCACACAATCACTCACACAACCACCCGAGCAACACACACAGCTTACAGCGCAGGCGAGGATCGGGCTGCGAAAGTATAGGTGGTGCCGGCATGGAGTCGTGGCTTGGCTCGGGTGCTTTCAAGCACGGTAGTTTGGAGATGTCAGCTGTCGATTGAAGAGATTCGAAAGACGTGGTGGGGGGAGGGGGGCGGCAAAGTCTGTGCGCAGGAAATTTAGAGCTTCGTGTTGTGCAGTGAGAAGTTGCTGGGCGGAGGTGAAATGGCTCTCCAACCAATAACAGCTCAAATGCTGAGATATGCGACTGCAAACCTTTAGTTCTCGCGCCGAAGATGACGGAATGCGTTTGTGACATTGCCGACAGAAGGCACTCTACATTATGTTCCCGTTTTAAGGAGACCCTGCAACACATTTTACAGCGAAACCTGTTTTGAGATCACAACAAGGGTCGCGTGCGCCGTAGAGTTCCGCCACCACCGGCGTCCGTAATCACTATCGCACAAAATAAGAAAAAAAAAAACGAGCGGAATGAAAAATTCACAGCGTAACCACGGAGTGAATGATGAGTGGGGCGAAGCTTTGGAGGGTTTTATCTGTAAACCGTGAATCCGTCCGTCCGTCTGTCTGTCACTCACACTAGCCCGACGTGCTGAGTCATTCATAAACTAGGCGCTCACGAACCGGTCACAGCAGAAGGCCAAACCCGCGATTTTAGAAGCTTAAACTCTAAAACTCCAAGGACAGAATGGGATTCGAACCCAGGCCCCTGCATGCCAGCCTAGCATTCTTCCACAGACACACGCAGATGCTTGAAACTCCGTTGCAAACTGACCTTAGGCAGGCTTTATTGTCGGAAAAAAATCGCGTTATGAGTAATAAAGCGTTTTAGAACAGCGAAGAAACAACCAGGCGTCACACAATTCGAACTGCGTAACCAGTGGGTCGTCGAATGCCCCTACCCATTACAAAAGATTCAGGCGTACTACCTCCTCGTCGTCAGCCACAGTGAAAAAATTCCACAAAATACCTTGCAAGTGTGTAGCGGGTACCAGGTTTCTCCGAAGGACACAGGAAGGCATAGTAAATGCCTCCCTACTACACTGTGACACAATAATTATGATGGTTAATGGTGTAGTGGGTACCCAGCAAGTGTGCCTATAGCAGTTACCCAGAGTGCTTAGAAAAGGCTCTGAAAGGCCACTCTTCCAGCTGTAGCTGTGACAATATTGCGCGCTCTACGCAGGCCAGGTGGCTTTTAGCATGGTATGAAAGTGCTGCTGATCAGTAGAGGGGCTTCCGAGAACGCGCAAGTAAAAGATCATAGCGCCGCACGAGGCCCGAAATTTACAGTTGTTTCTCACTCAGAAATCGCTTCCTGTTCTTGCGACAAATGATGCCATAATCCAAAATGACACGCTTAAACCAAAATTACACGGTCATTAACTGATTTCAGCATCATGAGCTGCATAGTTCACGTGGCTGACACGAGATGCCACCACGTGCCTGTGCGCGCATTGGCAATCATAAACCACACGTTCGAAGAAATGTGCTCAAGGCCGTGACGCGTGGTGGCGATGAGACGCATCTTCTTGCCCTTTTGTCACCCTCTCTCTGCGTATCTTTCAGTGCGCTCGCTAGTCAGAAAGGAGAGTGAGCGTTAGAAGCGTACAACAAATTCTTGTAACTCAGCTCGTACTTGACGGATTACAAACATTTTGCGGCAGTCGATTCATGAGAAATTAAGCTATTTTAATGAAGTCATTCGACGATTACTTGGGAAATTGTTGCAAGTCCTTTTTAACCTTGTTGTCTATCTGCAGTTCCCACATGGCATTATCAAGTTCAAAATCAAGTAGTACATGCATACCTAAAGTGGGTCTAGCAATGCTCACATCCGGGTTAAAACAAACAATCGAGGTTTAAAATATCATAAGTAAAATCAATGAACAAACTATTGTAATAAAAAACTTAAAATCGCTAGAAACACTTACCAGAAATATGCCGATGACTCCCTGACCAGTGAGGGCAGCAGAGTCTTGCTGAGTGCACGTTTTCTCCCCCATTCCCACTCCCATTCCTGATAAAGTTTATGCCTCCTCCTTGCTCCTTTCCCAAGTGCATCTCCAGCGTTACATTTCAAGGGGGAAAACCTTAACTCGCTGCGGACTGCACATATCAAGGTGCCGTAAACAGCAAGAAGTTGGTAAAGTGGAGCAAAAAGTAGGGTGCATGCCTCACACCGAGTTTGCGAATCTTCTTAACAAGATTCTGCTCCTCACGAGAAGACCCTACATGCCTACCTCAAACATTGACATCATCGACAGTTTGGTAAACCGAGCAGTGCGAACTATACAAACAGCAATTACTGTGTGCCTATGCTATGCACTTACTCATGTTTCAGAGTAGTGGAGCTGCTTTTAGCACAGGATTTAGATATACACCAATGGATTACATGAATGACACACATGAACGACATGTTTTTTTTTACATGCAGCATCTTATTTTTTTTTAATTTTACGATCTCACTTTGAGGCACAATGAAGAAAGGTTAGGGCTGAAATTCAATTTTGACAAACAAGGGCCTTTTGAGCTCGAGGAACATTCCTGCAGTTCACCCCCGTAAAAATGCAGCTGCCATAAATGGCATCGACCTCACTGCCTGATGCTCAGCAGTGCGACTCACACATACAATTCTGTTAGCATTACTTTACAATTTCCAAATCTCCAGGAAACATGAACTGATTGGGAGGTGAGGTGGGGTTATTACTACAGATCCATGGGACACACACATCTTATTAATGATTAGTTCACATAGGTTGATCATCACAATAAGCAGTTCCCATAAGCATGCGCAGGTTTCTTCATAAGGAGGGGGGCGAGTCTCACCTCCCCCTCCCCGTGCTATTGCAGAGTCGAACAAAACAACTTCTACCATGGCAGCAAAAAAAAGAAAGAAAACTAAGTGATGAATTACTTCCCACAATGGCCTGCCAGGGTAAAGGCATGGCTTAATGGTTCATTGAATTCATCATCAGAGGTACTTAGTCGCATTATCAACAAGAAGCACGTGTAGCCACAAGTTTGAGCATTAAAAAATGGCATGGGAGGTTGGTGGCCCGTTTCAGATGACTGGGGGGAGGCGGGGAATGGCACCCCACCAGTTACCTTTGTGGGCATGCCTATAAGAAGTCCCTAATGGGTAGAGAATGAGAGACAATTATTTTTTATCACAGTGCACCATTTCTGAATAAACTGCTCAGGGCAAGCAATACTCTGACGTCCTTTCATTATGGTAATACCATAAATGATTGGTAAGAAACTGACCAGTGAAACTCTACTAAAATATCTTTTCCACAGTGCCAAATCCATGTTCAGATTTGGCACTGCTGCACAGAAGCAAAATTCTTCCAAAAATTTTCACTACATTTCTGCAGAGCCTAAGCAGTCAGTTCAAAACCAACAATTTCTTTATATGTGTACAATGTACATACATCACATCTTGGTTTTTTAAATATGCACAATGCAAGTTCACACACTTGCATGTTGACACACTCAAGTCCAAGAGTATCTATTGCTTAATTATTTCCTTGATTCATTACCATATCGCAGAAGAGCGCTTGTTCCAATAAAATTGGATGTAACATTCACAAAATCGTAAAATGAGCCGAAAGGCACAATTAAAAAATTTTCCAAGACATTGGTACCTATGCTTTAGCACAGTATGAGAACAATACTTCATGAAAATGGCACTGTAAAGCTTCACTGTAGAAAAGGTTAGTTTTGGAGCAATTTAGTGCACCTGTTCCATCCCTGTGATAATAACCTTGAACCCCATGCACAAAGTGCTTAATTTCTAACACCTCCATAACTACTATATGTGAATGTGAGTGCCCATGCACATGCAACTGCAGAGATATGCCACTCACATTTAATGCAGAAAAATCTTCCAATAGGATAATTTCAGGTCACGGAAAAAATAGGGGGAATACAAAACATCAAAAAAGAGTGGAGAGAATTGGACATGTCTCCTTTTGGATACACCATTAAATTTTATTATACATTTTTACATGACCCTTTACTAGGATAACAGCCAAGATGTGCTGACGTCTATCCAAACTTTCATTCATTTTCACACCCAGCCAAGCTATCCGTACTAAAAAAAGAAGGCAAGCTTGTGCCGCCATGACTTCCAGATGGCTCTGAAAAAAAGAGAGAGATACATTATTACTAAACAACTGTGGCACACTTAAACCACTTACCCTAAAAACAGGAATATAGGTCGAATATAGGGTGCAATAAAAAGTTGACCCTTGTCTTATATACTGGTAATTGGCAGCAAAAATGTAGAAATTTCGCAACAATGTGCAGCTGAAGTGAAAAGTATGGTGGCTAGAAGGAGAGGTGTCAGCATCGTTCCGACCGCACCTTGAAAGGAGGCGTGCTGGTATTTCATTTCGCCGCGGAGCGGCACGCAAGTCGCCACCGTGATCGGTCGAGAGCGCTTGCCAGCCGCTAGCGCGGCACTTTTAGTCGCTTGCTCGTGTGCTCGCAAGTCACAACGTCTACGCTTTGCCTATTTGGACTTGTTCCGGATCAATACGTGCCAATGTGACCATGCAACAGTGATGAGTAAACAGCAAAGACACTGCTTTGTACCTGGATGCAATGCGGGATATGCTTCGGCCCGCAAACAAGAGAAGAAAGCGTCTCTTTTCTCTTCTCTTGCTGACGAACAGCTCAAGGCCTGGGAGTGTACGATTCCTGCCGCTGACAAACCACTGGAAAAGAACTGCGTTGTGTGCGAAGCTCATTTCGACGAAAGATTCATAGTCCGTAGCTACAAGCGTGTTATAAACGGGTTCTTAGTAACTTGGGAAAACGCTGTTCCTAAGGAGGGTGGGTTTTTGAGTGAATCAACTACCGAAGGACTCCGCGTCACTCTAACCAGCACTCTTTCCATCCGGCACTATGTCACGAAACCCTTGGCCTATAAATACTCGATGACATCTCGCCTCTGCAAAGATGCACTTAATTTTTTTTTTTTTTTGAATTCTGAAGCAAATGACTGGCTCGAGTTATCACACTTCACTGACACAATTTTTGATCTCTGTGAATTGCCTCAGTTTCCACAATTTGGCACAGTCACCCTCCAGTGGAAACATACCTTCTAGAGTTCGGAGTAGCCTTTTATGTCCGGGCATCCACAATAATTCAATAAAATTGCAGAATAAGCTGGATGAGCTGCTAGATGTGGGGCGCCTCAATGACGTTCATGAAATTATATTTGCTTGTGAAGCCCTCGATTGATATGTGGGGTTTAACGTCCCAAAACCACTATATGATTATGAGAGACGCCGTAGTGGAGGACTCCGGAAATTTCGACCACCTGGGGTTCTTTAACGTGCACCCAAATCTAAGCACACGAGCCTACAACATTTCCGCCTCCATCGGAAATGCAGCCGCCGCAGCCGGGATTTGAACTCGCGACCTGCGGGTCAGCAGCCGGGTACCTTAGCCACTAGACCACCACGGCGGGGCGCTTGTGAAGCCCTCTCTGACCACACTCTCATTGAACCCAAAAGTGACTCCCGTATCACTTATTACGTCAACGGCTATGAGGCCCTGAATATGGTGAAAAAGACTAAGTGCAACGAATGTAGCATGTTGTTGCTTTACTCGGAGAAGTCCAGCTTGTTTCTGGCAGAATCATGCCTTCTGTCAGTCCGAGTCCTTAACAGACCTGGTCAAAGCTATAGAAGATGCATTCACCAATTGGTTCAGTTTCAACAAGTTGAAAAGTGACAGCATAATAGCAACAGACCTTATCTCTTGCCTGTCTGTAAAAAGGTTAAATATGGTTGGCTGTGAACACCACAAACTGGAAGTGACAAATCAGATAATTAGATTTTTTACACTGACCAGAATGCGTTTGCTCGTTGCTAAAGAAAATGCGTCCAATCAAAAAAAGAGAGAGAAAAAATGAAGTTCTTCAAGTTGAGACGTATGACTTAACTGTCATAGCGTTAACTCAGTGAACAAGATTTTATTTTATGTTGTTGTGCATTACTCACACTCTGTTGTTTCTTGTGATTTTACTAATGTCTTGTTCACATTCTTTTAAATCTCCCATTAACAACTGTGATGTCACTATCTGACTGTGTTTCACATATGCAGAAATCAATTTTTTTGTGAACTGGTTTGAGGTTGTATCTATGTTTGCCAATCAAATCTCAATGTCATGTGTGTATGTGTGCCTATTGTATCATCGTATATTTACTGTTCTCTTTAGTTGCCTTATCCGCTTGCTTTAGCTGAGTTTCATATAACTTGCAGTTTTCTTTAACCTTAATGCATATAGTGCGTTTATTTTGCATGTTGTTTTTCGCTTTCGAGAAAATAAATGTCTTGCTTGTAAAATTAGACCTTGATTCTGCAAGTCCTAAAAATAACGGTTGCGATACCTTTACCTGCATTGAGACTTCACGGAGAACACTGCGGCATCAAATTTGAAAACTGCACAGACTTTGTTTTGGTGTCAAGCTCACGGCAAGTCACTTGATTCGCTATCTTCTAAGCTTCATAGCTGATATACTACGAAGTGAATTGAAAACACTAGTTTTCAGCGCCAATACACGCTTTGCAGCGCGCCGCCAGAATTGTGACAGGTAGACTTCGTTATAATTCCCAGGGTAGCGTGAAATGTTTGCAACAAAAAACGACTGATATGCGCGCGCGGGTGCGAGGAGGGGCATTTTGAAAGGGACTGCAGCGCCGCCGCATCCAGATGAATTCTCGCTCGCTCTCCAGCGCGCCGATGCTGACACCTCCTCTCCTTCTAGCCACCATATCAAAAGCGTCTATTACCATCGTGAGCGTCAGCAGCGGCACCATAGGGCAAGGATAGGCAAGGCCTACAGTGTTCTAGCAACGCCATTTTACCTTCGTTATTTGCTGTCAGTCTGCTGGTTTTTTTTTTCTGTTTCCTTCAGAAATGAGTGGCAGTCGATGGCACTTTACGATAGCCTTTAAGAAAAAAGTTATCGAGTTAACGAGTATGACGGACTGCAGTGCACCACAAACTGGAAATGCTACTCGCCGAATTCGTCCAGGAGCTGTGTGCAAGGTAGCTACCTGTAACAGCGGAGTGCATCCGCGTAAAAGCTCTCGAGATAGCGCGCGTCTCTGGGCTCACGAGCGCGAAATTGAAGGGATCGCCATTGTGGATGCCACGATTTATGAAGCGAAAGGGCTTTAGGCTGAAGCGGCATACTACTGTCTTTCCGCAAACGCTGCATCAGTAACGCAGTGGATGGAACGGAGGACGATGCACTCTGAGACGTTACTAGTGAAAAACAAACGTCGTCGAACAAGTCTGAATGACAGCACTTTGTGGCCTTGTGGCATTAACTACATAAGATTAGTGTTCAAAAAAAAGAAATGTCACCACAGTGCAGCTAGTAGTGTCACGTATTTTCCAAGGTAAGGGTGCACCGCGATACTTTGCGATTTTTTTAAATTTATTTTTCATAGATTCAAAGCTTGGGGGGTCAACCTATATTCCGGTTTTTACGGGTATGGTTGAAAGATTAGGCGTAATTACTTCAATATACCCATTACTGCCCTTTACCACAGTATACTTCTGACAAGGTCTAAAACATAAAACATGCAAAGAACAACACATTGTTGTGGCTCGTAGTAATCCTATATACAGCTATGTTAGCAATCAAATTTCATTATAGCAGAGAATGGATCTTAATTATCAGTACCATGAAAGTTCTTAGAAATTAGTGTGACTGCCTTTGTGATAGCTGCCTATGTTCCAATCGAATGTTCTTTCACTTTGCACCTGCAGCAAGCACTGCCCATGTGCTGCTGCTGTATTACAGTGAAGCAAGTCTTTTCTGCCCGAGCACATTTCAGCTGTTTCCGAGGCATACCATCAAACATACCTTTTCTTCACTTTCTTTTTTTTTCTTTTTGCAACAAAAACAAAACTGGGATTGAGAATCTACACATGATATCTGCCATCTTGAAAGAAATTGGGTTAGTGCAAGCTGTCACTTGATATTATCTTATCATATTACCATCAAAAGTGTCCTCAACAATTCTTACAGGTAATCATCGAATGACTTCAGTATTTGGGTTGATCACCCCCCAAATTTTTTTGAATATGCCAAGAATGAGCAAAGCTACAGAAATTTATCGCACACTTTAAGCACTTTCTCCTCATGTCTTGTCAATTGTGCTGGGTGCTATACATGGAGGGAAGGCAGGGAGAAAGAAGTTACATCGATGTGCATCATGACCTTGAGCACGCGTGATGTGTGTGTGGCTACTGTGTAATGTTAGTAGACTACACGGAGCACAGCTCCACGTGACAACGCAGAGCATGACACCACATGGCAAGAAGCACACCAGACCCAAAGGCCACTTTTGATTTATGTTGGCTATTGGCCAGTAGCAGCAATATTGTTGCGTGGAAATAACAGCAATCGGTGAGTAGCCACAGCACAGCTCACACTCAGTGTTAACCTCTTCACTTGTAGTTCAAGACACCCTTCAGAGAATGTCCCACTATGTCTTGTTACAATCATCCATTACATCTATTATAACCATTACAAGAAATCTGTTGTATGACCACCCTCCGAAAGTGTATGGGCCTCTGTATGAAGAAACCACGCTTGAAAAAATTACAACTTCATACCCCTTTCTTAAACTGTCTTCGCCAAGCTCAACACAAAGATTTGGCTGAGCTGTTCACAGCAGTGTATGCTTTCTGTCGTATGTGTTTCCTCACCAAGTCCGTGTGTTTCAAGACAGCTCCAAAAATGCAGGACGGCAGAAATTCCTCAAGTTTAGCAGGATTTCAAAATATCCTAATTAAAATTACCAAGGTTTCACTTTAGGCTGTTTTTATGGTGGACTACCGTATTTATACACTTGCGTAATGAATGCACTTTTTCCCTCGAAAAATTGGAGCAAAGTTGGGGGTGCATTTATTATGCTGGGCAAATTTTATCAAAACTTTTTCGAGATGAGCAACAAACACGGTAATGCAAAAAAAAAAAAAATGAGTTGGGTCGCTTAGCCTTTCGCAATTGACATATGTGTATGCTGTTTGAAAACAGCTTTCTTGTTGCACTTATAGTGAAGAGATATATAGTTGCACTTCATTTATTTTCGGTGGTTGAGGGTGCTATCTTCTGCAAGCTGTGTTTGTGCTATCCTGCACACTCCATAAAAGCATCTCGCGGCCTTCTTTTCTCGTAATCGTTTAACCACAACAGTGGTATCTGCTGCGATCTCGAGAGGCACCCAAAAGCGTGCGCTACGATGCACTCTCGCAACTTCGTGGCAACCTCGCATGACGACTACAACGACGACGCTGATATTGCACTATGCTACCACCGAAGCGTCAAAACAAACCGTCAATAACAAGATCAATGACAAAATACGGTTGCCGTTTCGCTGTTGACATGAAATGTTACTGTAGAAAAAGGTAGCCCATGTCTTGCGTTTTTTGAAGTATGCGGAAATAACAAGCATGAAAGCGAATTGCAACCGAAGAGAGAATCGGGGGGGTGCGACCACATTGCAAAAATCGTCACGATCTTTTGTGAGCAACAAGCCGCCCTTTGCGACAGCCATGGTGACAACAAACCCTGCCGATGTCGCTCGAAAATAACGAGCATGTGAGTAGTCTTTAATGTTTCGTATTTGCAGGAAGCGACCGTCAGTTGGCACGGGCAATTTCGTGACCTTCGCTCGCTTTGTGCTTATCAGCTGTGATGTCTCTACACTCACACCGTTCGTGAACGCTGCTGTGGCGCACGGATAATAATAAAAAAAAAGACGGGATGTGCCGCACAAAGATAGAAAGCAGAACAATACGGCAGCGGGCGAAGCGGGGGAAGAGGAAGCAAGCCGAGGAGGGTTGGATAATGATAATAAATAAAACGGGAGAGATCCAACAAGCAAGGAGGTGTCATGTGTCAGCGGGACGGCAGTGGCAAATGTAGAGGGTGCGTTTATTACAGGGGAGAAAAAAAATCCAGATTTTGCAGACTGAAGTTGGGGGTGCATTTATTATACAAGTGCGTTCATTAACGAGTAAATACGGTATATAACATGATAGTGTGAAAGAGCCCTTGTTGAAGAAATTTTGCTGTTGAGGTCGGTGGCATTGGTTGTGTGGGAAACATTTGCACGTCCTTGAGCAAAAAACTACAATACAGTAGATGCAAACAACAACACTAACGAATTTGAGCCAGAATCAAAGGTAGGCATTCCAGGCTGTGTGCTGGTATATAAAGTTAGCTGCGTTTTCTGACCATGGTAAAAAAGTGTTCCAGGACCCCTTTAAAACTAGCCACTTCATTGGTGGGGCATGAGATGACTCTGGTTTGCCCAAAGCCAATAATGCAAAAACCTTTATCTATTTAAGTCACACCATCTTACACCCCCCATGGAGACCCAACATAAAATATGTGCACAATTTATATTTTGTGCACTTCCAAAAGACACAATCAAAAAAGTCGATTTCACTAACCTGGACTAATAAGGTTGAACTGAGACAAATCTTCTGTGAGAACGACAGTGAAAGTTGGATATTCCACGACGACTTTTCCTTTCAGGCAGGCCTCTAGACTCATTGAAAAGTCTAGGTTGTAATAGCTGAAACAGGAAACGAATGGCAACTCAAACATCTATTTTCAACTAAAGTTAATGAACTTACTATCATTGAGCAATTACTAAAGAATAATGCAATGTTGGAGTATAATGACTCATGGCTGAGAGTAATACTTTATGCATTCAATTACCATAGGTATTCAAAAGCGCAATACTATGCACAAAGAGAATAATCAAACCTTGAATTATTTTAAGGGGAGATGTGGGTCTGAAATATTTTTTTATTAATTGTCTGAATTGAATGAAATTTAATACACTTATTCAGTTTATTCTGCAGATTACAAATCTCTAAGTAGATTTTCAATAGCTGCATCAGAACAAAAGATACTAAATTTTTATAATACACAATAAACCTACATATTTCTTATGGGGCTTTTTGGCAATTTCACCATGCCAAACACAAAAACAAAGTATATATCCACATTGCCAGAGAGCTGGTCTAGCCGGTGATGCTAATTTTATTATTTGCAAAAAACTTTAAATATAAACTAAATGAATACAAACGTAGTGAAACATGTCTGCCTTATATTGTTGACAATCATAATGAATTACAATTTGGTGGACTATGTTACATCTAAAATCATGAAACTGAGAAAAATGCATTTGAAGTGTTAGTTTTCCATAAATTGATGTGGTATTGCAACATAACTGTATAAATGGCATGATTATGTAGCTTTGCCCTTCAGGAACAAGATAATGTCATATATGTTACAATAATGTCACAGGAACCATGAAAAATTTGCTGTATTAGCACGCATAGTCCTTGTAAATAGTGCAAGAAAGCTGCTACCAAACACTTGTATTTCAACTTGTATTGTATTTCAAACATTGTATTTCATCTTGTATGTGTACACTGTGCATAAAAATGACATGCCTATGGGGTCTGTGCTGTCACTATTTGCCCCTAGGTCAGGGTCACAAGAATAAAAAGAGAAAAAATAACATCATGTGAATTCTCACAATGACAAGGGCTTGAATCTACACTTAACTGCTGACCAAAACTGTAAGCACTGTCCACTCTTGGCTTGTGCCTATTCACGAACTTGTTTTCCGTGGCATTCCTGGCTGCATGGTCTTTGTTACATATATAAATGACGTTATTGATGAATCTCCAGTCACCCTCAGTGAAGCAAATCGCTCAACGCGCATGCCGCACGCTGAGCATGCCATCACGAGTTTCACACTGAAACTGAAGTTCTCTTTTCTTTACTCCTGGACACTGTCACCACCGTCGGCGCAAATCACAAGCCCGAGAAGGTAATGAAACACGCTCAAATGTACGATAGAGAATTCTGTCTTAATTTGGTAATGACTATATGAATAAAATAGTATTTTTCTTTGCAATCAGAGCAATGTATAATTATACTGAAAACACTGGAAACACTCACACAAGCATGGCATATCATCAAAATCCTGTGATAAAGACACTAGGTTTCAAAACAATAGACCTCATGCAAAATTGCTATTATCTGTCAGCCGTCGTGTGCATACAGCGATGTTAGAGGCTCAGCACAGCACAGTACGCACAGTCCGCGTGTGTTTACGTATGTGTGTACATAAGTCGTATCGACGTGAGGCGTGTATTGGCTGATAATTGTAATGTGAATGTATTGCTGCATCCCTTGCTGCACACAGAGAGGAAATCTAACTGCTGAAGAAAAAAAGGTAAGCCGTAAACTTTGGTCTTTGTTATTTTTTCAAGCTGATAACGTTTCCAGCATGTGCTCCGGCTCTTAAAACTCTTAAAACACATGTTTGCGTTCTCCTTTCCAAGCAAGTAAGATGTGCAATAGCAGTTGTACTCTTGTTCCCTCGCATTGCGGCATGCCAAATCAAGACAGTTTTTGCAACGTTTTTCCTGTCAGCCATTTAACAAGTGAAGGCGACTCATATGCTTCACGCAGAAGCCACATTCAGGCAAGGAGCTTTATCGCAGCTAATTGTGCGCGCCTACATTTCATTGAATTTAGGAAGCAGTTTGATCAGCTCATCAACAACGGAAATCTCACCTCGGCTGAAAAACTTGATTATCTGGGGCTCTTCCTGAAAGGCGACACGAAGGCCGCCATAACAGGGTTTCCTACCACCAAAGCATGTTATGAAGATGTATTGGCAATGTTGAAACAACATTTCGGCGACAAAAAGCACCTGAAACAAGAGTACTTTTCGAGGTTGCGAAGACTCACTCCACTACGGTTTTTTAAGGCAGTGATACAATTCGGCAAGCTCTAGGACCAAGTGCTTATTAATGCGTGGGTCCCTGAAGCGCTTGGCTTTAGCGAAGAGTCTTTTTCATCAATGTTATGCGAGGTTTTGCTGAGGTCTTTGCCGCATGACATTGTCGTAGCATACCATCCTGGGTGACCCAACATGAAAGTGCTAATAACCTTCAGCATGCCACAAAACTTGAGCGTATCCTTCACTTTGTATTGAATTGGAAAGCCTAGAGAAAAGTGACTTTGGGGAACAGAAAGGATACGACGAAACAGCCTATTCTAGAAATAACGGTTGTCGCTTTAACAATGCGACCCCATCGTCGATTCTTCACAATCAAGCTTGAAAGCTACCTTTAGATACAGGCTGCATTTTTTGCAAGTCTGCGCAGCACTTCCCGGACTCCTGCTACAGAGACCTGGCACTATCAGAGAAGAACAAGCTTCTCTTTGGTGACATGAAGAGCTTTCGCTGCACAACGAAAGGTCACCGAGCAAAAGATTGCAGGCGTAGGATTGCATGCTCGGGATGCAGAAGTCGTCATGCGGGATCCACAAAAGCTAAGCCGACGTGCACGTGAAGACGTCTAAGGCAGCAGTACAACCGTATGTGCTGCTACCACCAAGCACAACGCAAGGGGTGACACTTTGACATGTGTGCTCCTACAAACTTTCCACACATATGGTGTTACCGATTATTCGTGTCGCTACATCAGAGCCTTGTTTGATGGAGGAAGTGAATGCACATTCGTAAGTAAAGCACTTTCAAAGCAATTGAAGTTAAAGTGTCTTGGCTTTGCAACTATTGCAATCAACACTTTCACCAACGTCAGCAGTTTCACACCGAAAAGACTCCGAATCGTAGAGCCTCACCTCAGAAGTAAACACTCCAACATGGAAGTGACACTGAAAGCCATCGAGATACCCCCTCACATTTGCCGACATATATCAGACAGCACAATGACTTTGGTGTTCGTCGCACCATCAAAAAAAAAAATGGGATACGATATCGCCGACAAGCTGCTCCACTCATCCATTGAGAAGGAAAACAACATAAGACTGCTGATTGGCTCGAACCAGATGTAGACAGGCGAAATGTACAGACAGGAAAGCGAGGAAAAACAAATTGCCATAACTTGAAGTTCAGATGGACAATCCAAGAGAGCACGAAACACTCATCGCCAAAGGCAGTTGACTCCCGAGTCGTGGTATGCACGTCGAAAGCGTAGAGGTAAATGAAGAGCTAATCCGGTCATTTTGGGGACTAGAAAATATAGGAATATCTAATCCCGGAAACAAGAAGATCGAGATGAGCTCAACTATGCAACACTTCGAGGAAACAATAGTGCTGCGGGGAGGCAGATACGAAGGGTCACCACCCTGGTAAACCGAGTTTTAACTTGTGACAACAAGGAAATAGCCACTACCAGACTGAAGAAACTTTTGAGATGTTTATCGAGCAGACAGGGTCTCCTGCAGACTTAGGATGCCACAATACGTGACTCTATGCTAGCCGGACATGCAGAAGTAGTAACGGACCAGAACACACCTACAAATCCGGCAAAAGTTTACTACATGCCACATAAAGAAGTTATCTGAGGCTTTGACAACAATGGTGCAAGTCGTCTTCGACGCGTCCTGAAAGACACGAGGATGCAAGTCACTTCAAGGGACCCTGCAACACTTTTTGAGCATGGTCAGGAAACGCTGCCGATCTGTAGCAAAGGCACCCGAGAACACGCAAGCCAAATATTATAGCGCAGCACGCGGCCTGGAATTCACAATAAATTATCAAAGTCAGCCAAAAATTGCTTCCTCTTCTTTCGAGAAATGATGGAAGACGCTCAAAAATTGCACATAGAAGGCCATCTATCAGCCATTGGTTGATTTGAACAAGGTGCCCTCGGTCGTTACAGCGATCACCATGGGAGGCTGCGACATGTCTGTACGTGTGAACGCAATCACACGAAAAAAGCCGTGTATTCGATGAAAAAAGAAAAAGTACTCAAAGTCACAGTGCGTGTGTGACGTATTTTCTTTGCCCCTGCCATCCCTCCTTGCTTAGCCTCCAGCGCTTTCGCTGGGACGAGAGCAGAAAGAATGCGATTGGCAGTGTGCAACAATTCTTTGTAACTCCACTCGTACTAAACGAATTCTTAAAATTTTTGCAGCGTTGAATTCGTGGGGCAATAAGCTCTTTTGGTGAATCCACTTCATGGTTACTTAAAAAAGTGTTTCAGGGCCCCTTAAATGACTGTTTAGGGAAAGGCGACCAAGACCTCGTGAGGATATTGCTGCACTTCAGAACACACCCCATCGTTGTAATGGCGGATATCGAGAAGGCTTTTCTTCAGATTTCAATAAAAGAAGAAGACAGACATGCCTTTCGATTTCTCTGGTTCGAAGAAGGCAATGATACCGGGTTTCAACAGAAGCAACCACAGGAATGGAGAATGACCAGAGTACCTTTAGAGCGACTTGAAGCCCATTTCTGCTAACAGCAACCATTCTTCATCACATTAGAACAGAACCACCGAGTATGGCCTTGACTGCCAAGACATTGAGCAACTTGTTCTACGTCGACAACTTAGTGACAGGAGCTGACATGGATGACGAAGCTGCCGAGTTTTGTAAAAAAAAAATGGAAAAGCTCATGCTCCTGGTAGGAATGAATCTCCACAAATAGAAAACAAACTCTGCAGAGCATATGAACCTGTCGGAAAGCGATAACCAATCAACCAGCCTCACGAAGCTTCAGTTAAAATACTTGGA